GAATAAGATAGCGCGGGGGTCGGGAGTCGAGGGGTTGCACGGGGAATCGGGATCGGGGAATCGGAGTTGGGAAGGGCGGGGGGGCTCCGCGCAGGGGATTGCGAGGTCACAGGGGGGCGGGAAGTGGGATTGGGTAGGCAGCGGGGGGGGAATAGCATGGGGGAAGAGAGGTGGAGATGGCGCGTAGGAGGAAGGGGGAATGGCAGGGGGTGGTCGACGATAACGGGTACGAAGATGAAGAAGCGGGAGGGGGCGAAGAGGAAGAAGAAGACGAAGAGGAAGGAGGGATGACGACGAGGACGAGGAGAAGGAAGAGAAACGGGGGAGAAGAAGGGTTGAAGAGGAGAAAAAACAGGAATCGAGGGAGGAAAGGAGGAAGGAGGAAAGGAAGTGATGACGACGGCGACGACGAGGGGAAGAGAAAGAAGAAATGAGGGGGAGGAGAAAAAAAAAAGTTTATTGGTCACTTACCTGCGCATCGGCTTCGGGATCGGTGGCGTTGAAGCAGCGACGAGGGAGGCAGCGAGGTGCTGACGTGGCAATGGCGGCAACGGCAACGAAGATGGCGACGATGGCGATGACGTGGCAACGACGGCGACGATCGCGACGGTGACGTGGCACAATGACGACGATCACGACGATGATGCTGAAAATGGCCAGGCGACGACGACGAAGCAGGGTGGGTCGGGCGGGTTCGAACCGCTCCGATACCACTGTGACGCGGATGAGGCAACGAGGCTGGGAGAGAGGGAGAGAGTGAGAGCACACACACACTCACTCAACTCGACGCAGACTCAACACGACTCGACGGGCGCATACACAACGTGGCAAAGTTGCAAAGTCGAAGCCTTGGATTTTCGAACACAATGTCGAAGCAAGTCACGCTGAAGCACAAGCACTGAGGCTCAAAACTGAATGCCCGTACTGGGCTTGAGTTCAGTCCGGAGGGCAGGAGTGCCATTGCCTCAGGACTGAATTGATAATCGAAAGTCTGAGTCCGGTCTTAAGTTCAGTCCGGAGGGCAGGAGTGCCATTGCCTCAGGACTGAATTGATAATCGAAAGTCTGAGTCTGGGCGCCAGTGTTGAAATCCGAAAGTGCCAAAGGAAGGATTTGAAAACGGGCGCCAACTGCAGAGGGCACCAACAATCAGAATCCGAAGAGCAGGAAAAAAAAAAAAATAAAAAAAAATAGCAGGCTGGCAGGTGGTACCCCGCGGACCAGGGACGGAGCCCTGGCTGAGTCTGTAACAGGGAATCTCAGCAGACACAATCCAGCGGGAAAACTCAGAAATCAGTACAGTTCTCAGTCTGTGATTTTGCAGGTCATTACATTTGTCTCGTGTCCAGCCTGTAGATTGGTGGCAAGTTTGGTTTTCGGGGGGGGGTTGTTATGATAACCATGAGAAAACACTGGAAATGCCAGGCTCTGCGTTTGGTGCCCCTGCCTGCTCGCGGTTTGATTTGTGCTCAAAAGGAAGTTTACTGCAGTTGGTGTGGGCTGGTGGTTCAAGTACCTCTCCTTGTCACCCTTTTCCCTCCTTCCTTTGCCCACCTCTTTTCAAGCTCCCTTGCTTGCTATTTCTGGATTGTGGCAATCCACCGCTGAGGAGAAGTAGCTGCTCAGGTGGGTGGTTGCCGTCTTCAAGGACCCAAGGTCCTTCCAGCACACAAGAGAGGACCGGTAGGCCCTTGGCTCAGGACCAAATGGGTAAAACCTGGCAAGCCACAGCCAGCGGCGGTAAGGCAAGGCTAAAATCGGAATCTCCTGAAGGCAAACCCTATCTGCTGAAGAATAAAGCCCAAAGTACTCAGGGTAAATCGAAGTCACCTTCGTCGGAGGTAGTTAAGCTTACAGGGCATCTGCTGATTTCCCCGGGCAGTGATTAACACACTCACTGCGTCCATCCTGACCGGTGTTGATTGCCCCCTGATGTGAGGGGGGGTTGACTGTCAGATTGCTTTTCCCTAGAGCTTTGGCGGGACTGGCAGTAGTAAATTGGGTAGGTGACTGTCTGCGAGCGACGATCTTGAGAAAACACAATCAAGTTGTGGTGTTTCCTATTTGCTCAGTTTGATGATATGTGCCTTCTCGTGTAGGAGTGGGCCGATATGTAGTCCATGCTTCCTCTCTCGGCGATGGGGTATAATTGATTGTCACGGTGCATATTCTCTTCCATGCAGTCCACAAGGTCACCCTTTCTGCACAGCAGGAACGAGTTCTTGCTGCCGCTCAGGGAATGGGAATGTTAATATAGAGAAGAATGGCTGAGATGGGGGTAGAGTGGGCGTGGGGAGGTGAATAAGGTTGTCCACAATTCTTGACTCGTTATTTCAGAACCGGGTAGCAGGCATTGCGTTGTCTTCTGGTAGTTTGACCGTGCACAGCACGCAGATCTGTGGGCTGTGGGGGACTGGGCGTTTTTTTTCTTTCTTTGGTTGACAGGGAGTGAGGCATAAGCGATCAACCATTGTAGGATTGAAATTTTCGTGGGTTTTGTGCATGGTAACCGCAGACCGGGAGACCGGACACTCCCGGACTGTCTTCCGGACCAGTGTCTGGACCAGTCCGGACTTTCCGGAATGGGAATGTTAATATAGAGAAGAATGGCTGAGATGGGGGTAGAGGGGGCGCGGGGATTCTTGACTCTTTATTTCAGAACCGGGTAGCAGGCATTGTGTTGTCTTCTGGTAGTTTGACCGTGCACAGCACACATATCTGTGGGCTGTGGGGGACTGGGCGTTTTTTTACTTTCTTTGGTTGACATGGAGTGAGGCATAAGCGATCAACCATTGTAGGATGCAAATTTTCGTGGGTTTTATGCATGGTAACCGCAGACCCAGAGACCGGACACTCCCATACTGTCTTCCGGACCAATGTCTGGACCGGTCCGGACTGTCCGGTGATCCGGACATCACCGGACACCCGGACATCACCGGACCCGTACAGCCCGGACCGGCATCAGGGGGTGCAAAATGATCGGTGTCAGGGGGTGCAAAATGTCCGGACCAGAAAAAAAAAAAAAAAAAAAAAACGGGAGAGGAGTGGGGGCGGAGAGGGGGGGCTGTTGGCAGGCATTTACCTGCTTTGCACTTGTAGTTCAGGCAGCAGAGTTGCAAATCAACAAGCACATTCAACTAGCAGACATGCAGAGTTGCAAACAGTGCAAAGCAAACACAAGACTAAAGAAACAGAGGGTAAAAAAATAAAAAAGTCAATTGAATTAAGTAATTTAAGTTCATAATGCAAGGAAAATGAGCGATAGCGAATTCCAGAAAACCAAGCAGCATCATACACATGAAACCAGAACCAAAAGCAGAATTGCAACTCGAGTTCCACCAAATAAGAGCACAGCAAAAGCTCACATGTGACAATATTGAAATAGTCTCATCATCATCAACAAAGAACCAATGTCGACATCCTATCTGGCGCTCTGCGCCCAGACTACAAATGGCAGATCCTATCTAGCCTACCTACAATGCCGCTGGTGACGTCAACAGCTCC